TTTCTATATAAGGTATGGGACTGACGGAAAGGTCCGTCCCCGCCCCATTCTGCATGCTGCAGCGAAGTGTACCTCCCTTCGATTCAGGCCAAAGGAAGGACGTATTTGTCGGCCGCATCGGAGGAGTCTTCCGTTTTGGACGTCCTTCGTCGCGGCGCTGTGACGTATGCGGCCGACAAATTCGACCTTCGGAGGACCCGTCCTGTTGTTTTGGACACAGCCTATAACTTATCTAGCCTTTTAATATATAACTATATGCATAAACGTTGAAACAGGAAGTGATGTCACTCCTCTTCAGTGTAAGATGCGTCTGAAAGTCTGGGTTCTGTTTGTCCTCCTTGACGTTTGTCTCCAGACGTCCACAGCAGCAAAGGCGTGAAGATGCAGAAACGAGGCGGCGGCGGCGGCTTCGGCTACCAGAAGTCCAAAAACGTCAACAAATCCAGAATCTTCAAACACGTGAACAAAGGGAGGAGCGACCGGCGGCAGTTCTCCCGCTGACCATTCTCTGACATGAACTTTGACCTTCTGTAAAACGTTCCACTCCTCTGACCCCCTGAGCAACCATAAAGTGTTTAATAAATGATGTCACCAGGATCAAAMGGCTCAGTTTTATTAAACACATTCAGGTCATCATTTTACAAAAACACTTCCCTTTAAATAATCTCATAAATCATACGGCTGTGAAATAAAGACTCCATTAATTCTAAATCAAAAGAAGAATTATTACAAAGTTCTGTTCAGAGACTCTGGGTCTCAGTCCTGACCCGGTCCAGGTTCTGACCCATGTTGAGGTGTGGTTGGTTTAGTTCATAAACAATCATTTACAGATTATTCTGCTTCAGTCATCTCAGTACAACTCTCTAATTCAGATTAGTCAGTGTTAATCTCTACATTCAGACCACTGAAGGGAGTTCATAGAATCTGAGCTGCTCAGCTTGGAGGGTCCAGGTAGGATCAGAGACCTGGTGGTCTTCAGGAAATTTAAATTTACATTTTAAAGGCTTTGTTCTTATAAACGTGGCTCCATTTAAAACAAGGTCTGCTGGTCCAGAACTGAGCTGGACCTCAGAAGAGGAAAATCCCTTTAACTGGACGCTTTGATTTACTTTCCCTTTCTTACAAACTAAATATTAAAGTTTGTGTTCAGGAGCTCCACAGGCTGTTTGTGTAGAACCCAGCAGGTCTGGATCGGATCCCAGGAGGTCTGATCTGCGTCGGTCCTGAGAAACGGATCCTGGTACCGCCCGGTTCTGTCACTGCTGCTGACCTGCGAAGAGAAACGGTTTAATTAAAGTCTCCAACAGGTCATTATCACCCTCTGACATACATCTCTGTTAGCAAAATATCCTGTAAACTGGTTAGAGAGCTGCAGGACATGCAGCACCGACCGTCGGACCTTAGGGGTCCACTCTGACAAGGGTCGGGGTGGGAGGGACCCAGCAGGGGGCGCCGTTCTTCTCTTCACCTGTTTCCAGACATGGGTGACAGTGAGACACCTGAGGGGGGCGGGGTTTCAGAGGAAAGGTGATGATGGAGGTGAGAACCTCAGCGTACCGTTAGAGCTGCAGCTCGTCTCCGACGTCTCCCAGTTCATGGCTTTCTGCACGGCCTTCTTCCAGCGGGCGAACCTGTACTCGCTCTCTGTGGGCGGAGCAAGGACGACTTCAGAAACAACCAGCAGAGGGCAGCAGAGCTCAGTTATCAGTGCTTCACATTCTAATAAATATGTAGATTTATTATTTCAGGCTTCTGACATTTTAAGGCAAGTTAAATTTAAGACTTTTTAATGTCAAATGAAACTAAATTTAAAATCAATTTCACAATAAACACAAATGACAAAAAAACTTGGCAGAAACTTATGAATCCATGTATTTCTGTTTGACGTATTCAAATATTCCTAATAAACCAATTGTTTTTAACCATATCCCACTGCTTTTTTTGTCAAATATAGCAAAAACATTCTTAGCAGTCAGTTTTAAACAGAAAAGTTAGAAAAAAGAACATAAGTAACATAACATAAAAATATTTTGATCCACACTCCATATCAGTAGGTGGGGTAATGCACAGCTTTCAATGTTTGCCAACCGCCATAAAACATCACACAAGAAGAAGAAGAACCAATCACAGAGCTCCCCTTTGTCACATGACTCTCAGGAAGTTCATTTTTTTAGCTCTGTTTCCCTTTTCTGTCTGTAAAACCTTATTTACACTAACTGGTGAGTAAACATCATTTTGTGACAGTTTAATGCCTTTTTCATGGACTAAATCATGAAAATGTGTTCAAATGTACCAGAAGTTTGGACCAGACTGGGTCCAACAGAACAAAGATCTCAAACAGAACCTGAAAAGGTCAAAACAAAAGGAATCAAGGTTCTGCAGGGGTCCAGTCAGGACCTGATCTTGGCTGAAATGATGTGGACCTTCAGAGAACCTCACTGGTCTGAAGTGGTGTAAAACAGAGTGGGTCAGAACTGCTCCACAACCACACAAGGCTGATCCAGAAACCCACTGCTGCTGGGATGTTTGTTGTTTATCTGAGCTTTTATTGGTCTTTTCTTACCTTCTGGGTTGATCTGAGGTTCGTATTTCTCAGACGTGAGGTGGGGGAGCTGACCTGGGTTCAGGTTCCACACCTCCACCCCCGGAGCCGCCCCCGCTGCCATGGCTGCACCCAGAGCCGTGGTCTCGGACATGGTGGGCCGGACTGAAACGATTCAAACCAACAGATTATTTTCCATGACAGGAAACTGATTTTAGACAAGTCTGATTTGATGTAAACGAATTAGTTTTTTAATGAGACAAAAGTCCAAAGTGACTGGAAGGGACAGAGTCCAGATTCAGAGGGGAGTCACCGGTGAGTCTTATCAACAAAACAAGTTACAAAATCACAACTTTGTCCTGGGAGGGGCTCCTTCATGCTGCCACTGCTGCACATCTCACTGAGAATTAAGACTTCAGTTTTAGTTTAAAATAAACACCAAGAAATGAGAGTTCAGAATTAGTAGAGACTATGTTGAGGCTGAGGACTGGTGTTTGAGACAATGCAGACTGGTTTTGAGACATGTAGACTGGTGTATGAGACATGTAGACTGGTGTATGAGACATGTAGACTGGTGTTTGAGACATGTAGACTGGTGTTTGAGACATGTAGACTGGTGTTTGAGACATGTAGACTGGTGTTTGAGACATGTAGACTGGTGTTTAAGACATGTAGACTGGTGTTTGAGACATGCAGACTGGTGTTTGAGACTGTAGACTGGTGTTTGAGAGTAGACTGGTGTATGAGACATG